TTTTGTGACTAGTAGGGTTTCAAGATCCATTTGGTCAAATTACATGTGTGGTTCTTGACGGTATGGTTACAAGTTGGTTTTGTTGGCTTGCAACTGTACCGTGAAGGAAAATCATTTGCGGGGTGTTTTTACATTTCATGTACCGTGAAAACATCATGTTTACATTATCATCATGTTAAAGCATATGTTATCATTTCATGTAGAACCCAAGAGTGAAATGATTCTAGTTGAGCAAGTCCTGGAAGAATCCCCGGTTGTCACGGGATTTGATAATTGTGGTACTGGTCCGGAACCTGAGATCATCAATGAAGGCAAGCCCCGGTTTATGCATTAAACCATTACCTTGTTTACTTTGAAAAGTTTATCACCTATGTTACTTATTGCATTAAGTTGATTTATTCAAATGTTACCTACTTGATGCATTGCCTACCTTGTTGATTGTTTGCCATCCTTGAAGATGATTTCATTTACAAAGGCATAGAATTGCTTAGTATGCTTTATGGTAGGTTTTCAAAGTAAAAGTTTCGATACAATCAAAGATGGCATACAGCCCAAAGAAAGAAAGAAAGAAGGTGGAATGAACTAGAGACTAGTCGGGTGACTTATCTTGAATGTTGGGTAATGTTGCCGACTATGTCACTTAAAGGCCACTCATTGTGGATCTTCTGAACGATCCACTTTGTAGTACTGGTCACATACTCCGGTAAGCCTATTTTGGCTAATCCGATACTAAGACGAATGCCCACGCACTGGGAGTGGTGAGATGGCGGGAGTAGCGTGTACCCTCATGGCTTGAATGTGGCCGGATTTGAGGCGTGTTGTGCTCTCGGGTGGCGTGGAGACGACTTAGTACGGGAGGATCCGGTAGCAAGGTTGATATATGCAAGATTAAGTTCTACATATGTCGTGTGATAAGGAATCCCCAGCTGGGACTTGAATCAATTCGAATTGCTGGTGCTCCACGGATATGGAGACTCGATTCATTACAGAAGCAATGCATGACTGGTGAACTACTAAAACATGAGAAAAAGAATGGAATGAGAAGGATTGGAACATGGGATATGAACACTTAGTTGGAGATGTTGAACTAAAGTACTTAGGGGTAAAACTTGAAACTAGGATCAAGAATAGTAAGCTTTTGGCAAAGAACTTTTGAATCTTTCTACATCCTTACCTTGACCCAACACCTGCATCCCTAAGACCTTCGCCATTTTTGGTCGGGTCAGTCTTGTTGAGTACTTTTGTAGTCAGGGTTTGTTAACCCTTGTTGCAGGTGAGTCGCATGCGCAGGCTTGTTTTGGTCCCTGCTGCATGTCAGTGTTTGAAGTCGATGACGATGAGGAATGATGAATGGCCTTTGGACAAGGCACTAGTTTGTGTGAAATAAATAATGTTAATATAATATTATCCCGCTACTATGGTTGTATGACAATTATGGTTTTGTAAGTTTGAAACAACTGGTTTGTAATATCAAAACTTAAGTCTTCCGCTTTATAATCTCTAGTATGTATATTGAAAACTATTGTAATCTACAATGACTGTGATTAGGATCCTGTTTGGAAAAGATTCGTGGATGATTCGGGTTTCCTGAGGACACCCGACAGATCTGTTAAGTTGTTGGGAACTTGTGTACGCTATCTGAGGTCTGTAGAGACATCGATAGGTGCACGTGGGCCCGATTTCTCAGGAGGTTCTGCCACACAAACAGTGCTGGTCGGAGGAGGAAGAAGCTACATTTATAGCAGATGTCTTACAGGTGGTTGACATAAAAATCACCACTGTAAATGATAATCACAGACAGTTCACATAAGAGAACTGCCAGTGTAAATGTTCATTTACACCGGCCGTTTGCAGTAAGCAAGCCACCAGTGTAAATGTCTTTTACACTGGCGGTTGGATAATGCAAACTGTCAGTGTAAATAGACCGTTAACACTGACAATTTTGTTATAGGAACAACCAGTGTAAATGCTTTTACACAGGCGATCCTTTGTGCTGGCCTATACATTTCTCTCTACTGGCGCCACCTCTTTCCCAACCGTCAGTGAAAAAAAATCGTGGCGCCAAGAGAAATCTGTAGCGTATAGTGTTCTTGGTGTGGGCAGCAGCATGTGGTGCCGACGAACAAGGTTGATGAGTTGGTGTCTGAACGTTGCTCGTCGAACCGGTGGGAGGATTACTCCAATTCTCCCGAGGGCACCAACTCCTGCTCCACGGCGGCGGTGGTTCCGTCGTCGCCCCTGGGCGTGACAACGAGGAACATTGTCATGGAGAGGAACCGCCGCAGGAAGTTCAACGAGAAGCTCTAGCTCTCGCGGCGTCGTGCCCAACATCACTAAGGTCAGAGTGATGATCTGTGCATGCATGGAGACGAGACGGTTTGGGAATCGACCGACGTGAAATTGAATCCTTGGCGTACGTAGGTGTTGCATGCAAATGGACAAGGCGTCCATAATCAGGGATGCCATCGCCTACATCGATAATCTGTAGTAGCAGGAGCACCAGTTGCTCGCCGAGATATCGCCCTCCAATCCTCTAACAACGACACTGCTGCCGCCATCAAGATGGAGGACGCCACCACTGGGGGTGCTAGCTATGACGTCGATAGCTTCCCCTGGGGGAAGAAGCTGAGGAAGGTGCCATCCGTCTTTCACCGACAACCCGACGAGCTCCTCTATCTCATCTCCGCCCGTATGAATCCTGGAGGTAACATAGATACTTGGGCCATGTTTAGTTCTCCCATATTCCTGAATTTGGCAATATGCAAAAAGAAGATTCTCCGTCGCATCAAATTTGCGGTACATGCACGGAGTACTAAATGTAGACGAAATAAAAAACTAATTGCACAGTTTGATTGTACTTTGCGAGACGAACGTTTTGAGCCTAATTAGTCAATGTTTGGACAATTATTACCAAATACAAACGAAATCGCTACAGTGTTCGCCGTCACATCGAACACTGTGCAAACGCCGATTCGGCAGCGAACTAAACGCGGCCTTGACTTGACCCAATCCAATTGTTCTAGAGCCGGCGGCCAAAGCATTGTTTTCGGTGATTGATCCTAGCTAGTAGTAATTTGGGTCGCATGCAGGCGCAGGTCTCGCAGGCAGGGGAGAGTGTGGCGGTGGTGAGCCTCTGCTCCAGCAGGGGTAGGGATGCCGTGGGCAAGATTTGCCACGCGCTGGAGCCGCGCCTTAGGGTCGTCACGGCCAGCATCGCCGCCTGTCTTTCACACCATGTTCGTGGAGGTAAACAGCCTAACTATAGCTTGCCACACGTCCAAATTATTGTGGTTGCCCATGTACGCGTGCCTGTCAGCTTTTGGCACATGCCAACCGATGGCGTCACCGGGGTGACGTAGCGTGGGATGACTTATGGAATGGTGCGTTGTCGTCGTCCTTTCGGCCAAAGGTAGGAGCGGGACTAGATTTTCATCTCGAGGTTTCAGTTTTCGACGAGAACTAGTAAAGTTAAGTTTCTGCTTGGGAAACGCGCGCGCATGGCATTTTATATTTGTTATTAGTACCTCGCTATCGGCTATCGCTGGGATTCTACTGATGTTGAAGAATTGAAGAAGCCGAGCTGCGCACCTTTACACCGTAAACTGCAAACCAAACCGACTGAACCGAATCGAATTGTCGGTCTATTCAGTTTTTGGTTACGGGTTCGCTTTGTGTGTTTCACAAATTTGGTGCCGAGCTTCGGCTTTTGAACGTAACTAAGAGGTACTGGCACAAAGTGCAGAGCATGCAAGGCCGTATCGAGCAAGACATAGTTTAGTGACTACAGATAATATATGATGATGGAATCGCATCTTCCACTTGTGCGTGCCAGCGTTTGTGTGCGATATATATTTTGTGTAGATTGGTGTAACAAGCTATATAAGTATAGCCCACATCAAAAGCCGGAGTTTAGAATTAAAAAGAGTTTAATGCATGGGTGGTCATCAACTTGTGTTCTAGTTTTACTTAGATTCATCAATTCTGAAAGTGGTTTTTTAGGTCCATAATCTTGGTCAGTGACGCATTCATAGCCCATACTCCATTTATTTTAATTTTTTAACCGACGTGACCCCTCCGAGTCATGGTGGACGCCGCACACACGCATGCATGTGCATGCACGATGCATGCACATCGGCATCTTCCCGCAGCTAGACAACTCTTGCGGGTTTTGCTCGTGAGCGTGAAGACCTTGCTGACAGGGTGGCTGGGTGAGCATAACGACGCGGGGGCGCGGCGGCCGGCGAGGCACGCGAGCATGACGACCTTGCTGAGGTAGCACGGCTTGCACTTGGAGTCCGACGTGATTTCTGCAGGTAGAAGAAGTTAAGCTCCAGGAGATGGTTCAGTACGTGTACGTGCTGCATACCCGGTGGATCTCCTGGAGATGTTCCAGATGTCTTGCATGTCGCCGTCGTGTGGCGTGCTCTTCTATGCCCCGAGTTGTTGACTATGTGGTACGGCGAGAGAAAGTCCAACGTCCGCGACCTGTTCGACAAGGCGCGCTCGGCGGCGCCATGCCCGTGCTGTGCTGTCCGGGAGTCGGGGCGTCGGATGAGTCGGGGCATCGGCCAGGGCATGGGCATGGAGGCATGGGGCGTCGACGACGTCTTCATGCTGCAGCTGTGCAGCATGGCTCCCGGTCAGTCATTCGCGGCGGCGTCGACGACGACGGGGCGCTCCACTGGGCGACCATTGAGCGCCTACCTACCTACAACCGCCGAACCGCGTGCGCAACGCCATCCTGTACTCGTCCACGGAGGCCGAAGCCGTCGCCACCGCCGCCGACGGGGACAACGACAAGCCCCGCCAGCAGTTCAAGGACGTGGAAGTGATGAAGCGCGGCGTCGGCGAGCGCGTCGTCCTCGTCGCTGAGACGGACAACTAGCAAATTCCTCCATAAGCTCCGCTGCTGCAGGCATCCAGGGAGCCAGGCACCCGCGGCGCGCAGGACAACGGCGGCGGCGGCGGCATGCTCGGCGTGGCCCTGCGGGAAGTAGTAGATGTCGGCGCCGACGGGCGGCACGGTCCACAAGATGCTCCGCATTGCGGACGGCGGCGACGAGTCTGACGCGCTGACGGAGGCCGTGGTCGCCAAGTTCCTCTGCCTCAGAGCACTTGAGGCTAACAAGCCCGTCATCGGCGCGTCCGGCGCCGCGCCATTCCTCGTGCGCGCATTCCAGTCCGCCACGTGCTCCTCCACTGAGCAGGCGCGCCATGACGCGCTGTGCGCGCTCCTGAACCTCTCCATCGCGCCCGCCAACGCGCCGCACCTGCTGGTGGCCGGGCTCGCGCCGGCGCTGGTGGCTACCGTGGGGGACGCCGCCCCCGTGACGGACCACGCGCTCGCCGTGCTCTGCAACCTCGTGGCGGCCTGTCCCGAGGGCCGCCGCGCAGTGAGCCACGCCCCCGACGCGGTGCCGTCCCTCGTCGACGTGCTCAACTGGGCCGACGAGCCCGGGTGCCAGGAGAAGGTGGCCTACGTGCTCATGGTCCTGGCGCACCGGAGCTACGGTGACCGCGCGGCCATGGCCGAGGCCGCCGCCTCATCCACGCTCCTGGAGCTCACGCTCGTGGGCACGGCACTCACGCAGAAGCGCGTGTCCAGGATCCTGGAGATCCTCCGCGCCGACAAGGGCAAGCAGGTTGCGGACGACGTCTCAGGCGTCGTGGCGACGGTGTCGGCGCCGCAGGAGCGCAGGTGCCGTGGGGAGGAGTCGGTGGACGGGGAGTTCGACGACGCCGGCATGAGCGCCGAGAAGCACGCCGTGCGGCAGCTGGTTCAGCAGAGCATGCAGAGCAACATGCGGCGCATTGTCCGGCGCGCGCGGCTGCCGCAGGACTTCGCTCCGGCATCGACCGAGAACCTCAAGGCGCTCACTGCCTTCTCCACCTCCAAGAGCCTGCCATTCTAGGAGACCATGCTAGCATCGCGACGAGAGGCAGGATGGCGCCGAGCATCGTGAGCATCTCCCTGGCGCCGGCGTCATCCTTGGCCTTCCTCCGCACGGCCTTGGCCGCCTCGACGCGGGACATGCAACCTTCGCCGCCTCCGCCGCTGTCTTGGAGCGCCCTGACCACGCCCTTTAGCTCCTCGAACGCCTCCACCTTCCTGGCAGCCACGACATCCGCCGCCTCGGCCTCAGCAAGGTCGTCATGCTCGCGCGCCTCGCTGGCCGCCGTGCCCCCGCGTCGTTATGCTCACCCAGCCACCTTGTCAGCAAGGTATTCATCATGCTCACAAGCAAAACCCGTGAGAGATGTCCAGCTGCGGGAAGACGCCGACATGCATGCACATGCATGCGTGTGTGCGGCATCCACATGGACCCGGAGGTGCCACGTCAGTTAAAAAATTGAAGCAAAGGGGTTATGGGCTAGGAATGCGCCACTAACAAATATTATGAACCTAAAAATTCACTTTCAGAGTTGATGGATTTAAGTGAAACTAGAGCGCAAGTTGATGGACCACCCATGCATTTTACTCAATTAAAAACCTCATATTCATACTTTAAGATTTTAGCAAACTCAGCTCAATTGTTTTTGAAAATAACTTAATACGGTTACCTGCTACTTTTGTGCAAACCGGAATTTATGTGTGTGGGTGCCACATTGAAAGTCCACACTGAAATATTTAAAACCTTATGTTCACACCATACAATTTTAGCTAAATTGACTTAAATCTATTGGAGATGTCACAGTACCACTGCTCGCTAATTTCATGGACCGATATGACTAGATATATACATGAGTTCCATATCATAAATTTAAAATATACATTAATAGTTAGTCAAGTCCACATGCACTACTACATAAAATGGTCTTACCCTATAGTATTCTTACCATTGTTTTTATTAAAACTTGGCGGTTCAAAATAGAACCCACATGAAAATCATTTTCACCGTAGGTTCAACCCACAATTCACATGCAACGACGGGGACAGCTGGGGCCACAACTGAGGGCATGCACTACTACAGGAATGAATTGCAGGGGCGGCTGGTGAGGCTTTGTAGAGGCGGCTCGGCTAGCCGCTCCTACCATGCCATCTCTACAAATCATGTATTTGTAGGGGTGGTTCTCAGACCGTCCTTACAAATCGATTTATAGAGGCGGCTGGTGTCCCGCTCCTACAAATATATTTGTAGGGGTATATTTGTACCAGCCGCCTCTACAAATCGATTTATAGGGGCGGCTAGTACAGTGCATTTTTCCGCAAAAAAAATTAAATTTACAATTCAAATTCGACTAGAACATATATATATATATATATATATATATATATATATATATCAAATCTGACCAGAACATATATAATTCAAATCTAACCACAAGGGGCAAAAAAAAATCTAACCACAAAGACAAAAGCATTATATAAACTACCATTACAAGTTTAATTTATAAGAATATATACAAACTGTTTTTCACGTAGTGTAACCAATAATTAGTATTAATTTACTGAAATTACTTGCGTTACATGCATATACTAAGGCATGGTACAAGAGAAGAATGTAGAGCACTGGCGTATAATAAATTGCACAGACAAGCACAATGTCAACTTACATGACTAGGTGGAATGTGCTTTCCACTGAGGAGATCAAACATGAATAGTGAACGCCATAGGAAATGGAAAACAGCCAAACACGATTCTATTGAAAGTTTACCTCTGTTTTTTTGTGACTTCCGATAAGGAGCAGCTTCCCTTCAATAAGTGCACTAGTTATAAGCACCTGAAAAATCATGGATGCTGGGAGGGAGCACAATCAACGAGATAAGGCGGAGTAGATATTTTTTATGTTGCGATTAGAAGCAGAGGCAGGACAAAGCTAATCGGCTCGAAGCCAGCTCAGCCGCTGGGTCGGAGACCAGAGGGCTGTATGAATTTTGGGCGACATGGACGCCCTCTCCTCGCGTGGAGCCCAACTGAAATGTAGGAAGTAATTAACTAAACGTTGTTCCATACATATCGAATTTGTTGTACACTTGAATTAGGTGGCATGTAAAAAACAATAAATCTGTAAGTGCTTGCAAGGTACTAAACCATGAAGGATAGATTTGTAGGTACAGAAATTGTAAGGCTATGGGCACATAAGTATATTATTATGAAGACACAAGATTTCTAGAGATAAGCACATGCAGCTTTGTTGATCTTTCAAAATGTGTTCCAGACAATTGAAAGGCTGGGCACATAAATATATATTTAGGTTAGAAGTGAGACAGCAGGTGACCATATATAAGCTTGTAGCATTTTCATACCGTCTTTGCATATCTCCATGTCCTTTAGCTGCAGTATGTGGTACTTTGGCCGCCTTCGTTCCATATCATATTAGTGGAGCAGGTTTCTGCGTTTAAACCAAAAGCTTCTCCCAAGGTACTACATATATATATTGTAAAGGCTTCTCTCTGGTTTAGCCTCAAGTGGTCAATAGATATTACCTTGGTGCATCTTTTTAGATTGTATTTTACTGCCATTTCCTTGGCCTGTTGCTCGCAAAGCACACTTCTATTGTTCTGAAGCTATATAACAAACCCATCAGTATGATGGAGGAAGCCACGACACTGTCTTGTCTATGGCAGTGGCACTATATTGCAGTTGTTTCATTCCTAGTTCATATGTATAGGCATCTATGATTCATGGTAAAGGTGATAGATTTTTTTACAGCAAAGCATGCAGATTTAACCGTAAATATTTTCATTCCACCACTGGATAATCGTCCACTATTATCCTATATTCGAAAAGCTAGAACTTGGATTTGTTTTAGCCCCAAATAACATATGGAACTGACAGAGCAACCAACCAATTTCAGAACAGTAACAAAAATTGTACCATATAGTTAGAATATGTCCCTTCCATGTATATTGGCATGACTAATTCCATTAGGGAAAAAATAATCTCATCATGCACATATGATATATTAGACTTCAAATGTGAGCGATGCCAATCCATCAAGTTTACCTTTCAAAAACAATACATGGAAGAAGATAAAAGGGCTGTCCCACGGCTTCCAGCATATCCACAGGTAGAAGATGATCTGCAAACAAATAAATTCTTGAGTAATTTAGAGTTCAGATTTGAAGAACTGTACACCTTTGCTTGAGTAGCTTGCAACTACCTCTGTAGATGAAATGCAGGTTATAAAAATGATAGTGTGTATTGACCACATCTCATATGGACAGTCCATCGAGCACATGGGATGCAGAGTCATTCACATCTTACTGGAGAAAAAAAATGAGAACCACGAATCATAGAACCGAGATCCATATATATGCAAAATTGGGGAAATTAGAACCCTACATGCCTCCTAGTGCAGCACGCGCACGTAGGGAGAAGAGGTGGGAGGGAGAGGAGGCGATGACGCACCATGCTTCAGACGTGCCGCTGCGGATGGGCGGCGGTTGAGAGCAGTTGGGTGGCCAGCCATGGACGCACCGGATCCGGTCATGGGCCGGTGACGGAGAGGCGAAACCCTAGGTCGCCGCTGCCGCCACCGCACCGGTTGCCAGCCGCCCAGGTCGACGTGCCGCTCTAGGGGAGCCCACGCCGTGGCGCCGGAGCGGGGCCTGCCTGATGCGAGCTCCGCCAGGACGCATGGAGAGGTCGCCAGAGGGAAGGACGGCAGAGGCCAGGAGCAGACGAGGAATCGAGGAAGCTGGAGGAGGCGAGGATTGGAGGGGGAGTTTGACATGGAGGCCGAGCTGCGTGGGGGGCCGGAGGGGAAGGGGCCGGCAGCGCGCCGCCACCTCAGGAGCGGCCGAGGGAGAGAGAGAGAGGAGGGCGTTTTTTTCCGGGGCTTTCAACCGTGTGCCATTATAAATGGACACAGCAGGGGTTTAGCCGCCGGATCCGGGACCCTCCTCACCGGATCGATCTCTTCCTTGCAGAATCGAGCTCCTCCATGAGGAAGAGAGCACCGGCCACCGGGTGGGAGAGCTGCGGAGAGAGAGTAGGAGAGAGCGAACAGAAGAGAGGGCGCGGAGGGAGCGGCGACTCGATAGATTGTCCGTGTGTGTTATAGTCAGAGTCATTTGTAGGGGCGGGTCTCAAGACCAGCCGCCCCTACAAATGTATTTGTAGGGACAGTTTCTGATTAGCCGACCCTACAAATATTTTCATATATTTTTAAATATTACTTCTAAATATTTTTTATAAATGTAAAAATGTATATATAAATGTAATAAAAATAATTTGCTATATTTTCTCGTACACATAAAAAATTACCTGCTTATATATATAGATATAATGATACATTTTATTTTGTAAAATAAAAATATATATTTAAAAAATTTAAAATTTGAATTTGTGAATTTTGAATTAAATTTTAAGACAAAAAATGATCTAAAATGAAAATGTTGTAAACATTAAAGTTGTAGAGCTCATCAAGATGTACAACTTATATTTTAATCATCTTTTCATTTGACAAAATTTGAAAAGTTCAAATTTTGAATTTCAATAAATAGCAACTTCAAACAAGATTTTGAAAACTTAAATGATTTCAAATAAGAAAGTCATGAATATAAAAGTTGTTGAACACATCACTATCTACAATTTTTATTTTGATCATCTTTTCATTTGACAAAATTTGTACAGTTCAAAATTTGAAATTCAATAAATGGTAACTTCAAACAAGATTTTGAAACCTTAAATGATTTCAAATAAGAAAGTCATAAACATAAAACTTGTTGAACACATCACTATCTACAACTTTTATTTTGGTCATCTTTTCATTTGACAAAATTTAAATAGTTCAAATTTTGAATTTCAATAAATGACAACTTCAAACAAGATTTTGAAATCTTAAATGATTTCAACTACAAAAGTCGTGTACATAAAAGTTGTTGAACTCATCACAATCTACAACTTTTATTTTTGTCACTTTTTCATTTGATAAAATATTAGTAAACATTTTTCATAAATTCACAT